TCCTCCTCCTCCTCCTCCTCCTCTTCCTCTCCTTCTCCTTCTCCTTCTCCTTCTTCTCCTCCTCCTCCTCCTCCTCTTCTTCTTCTGGGATCCAACTCAGGCTCTTGAACTTGCAAGGCAGGCGTGGTAGTCTGACTTCTTATGTCATTAAAAATTTATCTTTTTCTCTTCATTTCTATTTGCCAACATATTTTCACATTGTAATCAGTGAAATCCAGACTACCATCTTTGAAACAATGAGACAAATAAGCCTATTTTAAGTTCTGTATGCCAGGTATATTGTACCTGTCACTAAGTAAACAAGTAAGTAAACAAATAAATACCTAATACAGTTCAGTTAGATGCATGTCCTAAATAATCTTGCAAATGCATCAATTCATTCTTCAAATAATTATATAAATGAGTCTTTTCAATGATTGCTCTTCACAATTTTATGTGTGTATGTATTTCAGTCTAACTCCAGCAACTCTTTGCCTATAAAAACCACTTATTTCCTCTTAAATCCACTCTCCTCCATGCAGGCAGAACTAACTCAATGCTAACAGGCATTTGGTCACGAACTCATGCTAAAACAAACCCATGGCTACAGTCAACTGGACTCATGTTACACAATATTTTGCAAGCTGATGGAAGACTCCTTTGTTACCTACCAATTTCACTTGTAAATGTTGACTTAGAAGAACCCATGTTATGAATATGTTATGAGTATGAGTTCTTTTTTTTTCTTGGTCCGGGAGACTGAACTCAGGACCTGCACTTGCAAGGCAGGTGGGGCACCACTAAGCTAAATCCCAGGCACAAAATTTCACATTTGGGGGAGGGGGAGGTTACCAGGAGTTCAACTTAGGACCTTGCACTTTCAAGGCAGGCACGGTGCCACTAAGCTAAATCTCCTGCCCCACATCCCTGAGTATATTGAATCAAGGTAACATAACACTTCTATCTACATATACCCAAAAAATTACATGCTGCCTTTTCCTTCTGGAAATTAACTCTCCATATCATTACATGAATCACAAGTACACATGCTTCAGGTCTCATTCAAATGGTGCAAATCCCTGACATAGTCTTTCAAATTTCTGAAGATCAGTGGACTCTTGGCCTACCTCATCACACTTTATTCTAAGCTGCCATGCTCAGTAGAAGAGAATTTCTCATCTGAGCCCTGAGAAGCTGAGGATAGAGAAGAGATTTGTTCATTATCATTGTTGCTTCTTAGCATGTATATATTTTCATACTAAATTCAGTGTTGATGAAAAAAGAAAAATAAAAGTACAAGATGCTGTGAGAACATGAAAGAAGACAGTGAAACTCACTAGCTCAATGAGAGAAGTGGAATTTTACCTGGAGTCCTTTGAGTGACACAAAGGATTTTCCCAGGCAATGTTAAAATAGCATTGATGGCAGACAAAGTAGTTGGAAGCAAAGGCATGTGGGTGTGCTGAGCATGGGGAGAAGCCAGTAGTAAACACTGAGTGTAGACCAGGAAGCGGGGGGGGGGGCTCTGAGAAATTTGTCCCTCTTGTGCCTGTAGAAGTCTAGTAACGAGTTCCATCACTATTCAAGTTAAAGGCAGATCCTAGGTAGAATAAGTGGAATTTTACTTAAATTTCCTAAGTTTCAGATAGTTCTATACTGCTGTGCTAATGGATATTTGAAGAAACAGAATGTACCTAATATATATTTCCTCAAATTTACAAGCTGTAAAAGACCTGAGAGTTGCAAATTATTTGTCAACAAAACATGACTGCCTCTATGAGTGCATCCTTTATTGTCATCATAAACTCCAAAGGCTCAGGTTAAGGTAACAGGCAGCATCATGAAAGCTCCTATCACACCTACTTCTTCTTCCTGCAACACAGAAAATAATGACTAGATAATGGTGGAGAAGCTATACACAATCTTCAAAACCAAGGCGTTGTTGGTTTACCTGGGCTTCTCTCTCTCTGAAAAGAGACATGTAATTTTAGTGAAGAAAGAACTTCCCCAGGTCTCAGTGGTGATACAACTTATCATTTCCCACCAATACAGGAGATTGGTTCCTTGGTAAAATCCAAAAAACACCTAATGTCTTCTAATATCATGGAGTAGTCATTTGGTCAACCTCACATAACCATGAGTAAGAAAAACTTACCCTCATTAGGAGCAAATGATCGGGAAGAGGTCCCTTCAGAAAGCAGTTTTCACCTCCCCCTTGACAGACTTCTGCCTGGGCAGAATGTTGTGGTCTGTCGAAGTGCCACAGTCTCTGTAACTGTGGGTATCTGCATGAGTCTAGAGACAGCTTTGTGCAGGTGGGCAGTTATGTTTTTTCTGTGCCTCAGTTTTCACACTGTGAAATATTCAGGATATGAACATATCAAGGCCGATATATGCAGAGCATGTATCTTGACTTTGCTTGGTCAAGTGAGGCCATTTTCTTCCCCTTATTGTATTACCCATTCTTACTACCTTTGATATAGCACTCAAGCACTCATTCCACAATCCTCACTGTGCAGGGACCTTACTGAGCTTTCATTGGTGAGATAGATGAGCCAGATCCTTTCCTTCCTTCTTAATATTTCAATGTAAAGCAGATGGCATAAACCAAGGCACTTCATAATGATGGGCCACATTAAGGGTGGGAGTAGACTGTGTTCATGAGAAAGTCAAATGGAAAATGATTTCCTTTGGGAAATAAGTGGAGCCAGAGAGAAAGACCTGACCCTAGAGGAAACATTCAAGAATGATAAGACCAACCAGGGCATAGGGGAGTAGAATTACAGAAAAATACTTTAGCAAAAAGAGGACTGGGCTGGGGATTTAGCTCAGTGGCTCTGCACCTGCCTCGCAGGTGCAAGGTTCCAAGTTTGAGCCCCTGTACCAAAAAAAAGAGGACTGAGAAACATGTTAAGGGTCATAGAGTTGAGTCCAGTCCTTGTCTTCCCAAGTATGCTCTACATGATCTTACACTTCCTGAAATACTATTCTATAAAATGCTTTATGTCTTTCAAAGTCTTAATAAAAGGCCACAATAAACAAAGCTTAGATCACATTCTATTCATTTTCTGTGACCATGCACTTCAGAGTGTTTCAAGTGCTGCACAGTCACTCACCAGACAAGACCTTTTGGAAATGAGTGAAACACTGTTACCCGTCTACATAGGGACTTTCACTCAGTCAATTCATCACTGCTATGAATCATGATTTTGTGTTGTATCATGGGAACCTTTATTTTAAATAAGTAAAAGTGTCACATAGGAAAAGATTGGATCTTCTCCAGACCATCAACAACAAAGCAATAAATGGAGGCTGACTGGTACAGAGGTTTCTGTATCCAGGGGTACAGAGATTCAAAGCCAAGTGCAGATATCCCTGTACTGTGGACTTTCTCCTTGCTCAAGTCAAGTAACACAACATGATTTGTTGAGAGCATTTCTACATAAATGTTGGGGAAAAATCATTTCATAATTTAAGTGTGACTATAGCTGTCTAAGACCCAAAGTTTCCTTGTCCATGAGCAGGCTATGGCATGTGCAAACAAAACTCTGTTTTGCATCCTGTCACAGCTGACAATCAGTGAATGTGTCTTGATTGTCTTTTGTATTGACTTCTTCTGGGCTGGCCCTGTCTAACTTCCTAGAAGATATCTAATGAACTCACCTGCCTACAATTACAAGCTGGGCATGGAGGCATACACCTATAATCCCACCACTCAGAAGACTGAGGCAGGGGGATCACCAAGAGTTAAAAGCCAGTTTAGGCTACATCTTGAGTTCAAGGCCAGCTTGAAATACCTAATGAGACCCTGTCTCAAAATCCAAATTATGGGGCCAAGGATTTAGCTCAGTGTCACTGTGGCTGCCTCACAAGCACAAGGTCCTGAGTTCAATCCCAGTACCAAAACCAAACCAAACCAAACCAAAACAAAAACTCCCCTGTTAAAAATCTGCAGTTTGGAGCAGGGATTTAGCTCAATGTTTTTGCTGTCTGCTGGGCAAGCACAAGGACCCGAGTTCAATCCCTGGTACCGAATAAAATAAAATAAAATAAAAATCTTCAGTTTGGTCATTTTTACTATATTCATAGGCACACCCCTCCCCACTACCCAATAGCAGAACATTTCCACACCCCAGGAGAAACCCTATACCTGTTAACAGTTTTTCCCCACTCCACCTCCTTTTCTGTGGATTTGCATTTTCTGGACACATCCTCTGGACAGAGTCACACCATGTACAATGCCACATTTTTGCCATCTGGCTTCTGTCACTTAGTGTGATGTTTTCAGAGTTAACCGTGTTGTAGAGTACATCCACATTTGTTCTTTTTCGTGGCCAAATAATACTCCACCACATGGATTTACCATATTTGTTTGCCCATTCATCGGTTGATGGACTTTTGGGTTGGAGAGTGGCAGAGAGTAGCTTCCAGGCTCCTGTAAGATTCCTGTGATGCAAAGGAAGCCTCCTGTCCCTTTTCTTCCCCCCTTGCTCGCTCTCTGGTGCCTTGAAATAAAAGTGTACAGATACTTTATCAAGATGTAAAAATGTCTATCTGTAGGGGGTTGGTGTGATCGAGCTCTTTGCTTTTACCAGGAACCAGAGCTGCCTTTCCTCTTTACTTGCCAGCTTATGCAGGTGGCGGCTTCATGAGCCCTCAGTTGGGGCGGCCTGATGGCCGGCGCAGGCCGCTGTCTCATGGTGCCCCAAGTGCGCTGACGGCCGTTCTCGCCTCTTTGCCCTACTTCTGCACGGCTCCATGAAGAAGTGGACTATTCTGAGAAGCTCGAGTTCAGTGACAATGAGGAGGAGGAGGAGGAGGTCGCGAAGGAAGGCTGGTCCAAGTGGTACGGCGCCCCCTCCCGGCTCCCGCCCAGCACAGCCCCATGCCCCGTGTCGCCTGGCATCGGGGGCATCCATGCTGGCACTGTAGCAAGGGCACCGCTGCACAGGGGTAGGTCGGTGTCTGGTTTGCAGATGGGTCGTCAGTCCCTGAGGATGGCCATGGAGGACCTGCCGGCCAGGCTGGGCTTGGCCCTGGGCATACCGCCTGGTCCCGAGTCCCGACCTCTTCCCCTCTCGCTGGCGTCTTCCCTGTGCCGAGCCAGGCCACTGCCCTTGCTCCTTGCATCATCCGTGCAGGCCCCGCCAAGGCTTGAGCGTGGCAGGGAGGGCTGGGAAGCAGCTCCACACCTGCGCAGCCCCTGTGATCTTCTCCCTCTTGTGGTGGGGGATCATTGCGTCTGACTAATTCTGCTCAGTGCCCTTGCACTATGATCGCTTTAGTGGGGTTTTTTTTGTTTTCTTTTGGTTTGGTTTTTGTATTATTGAGTAGGCGCTCCATATGTAGTTCCGGCTGGGCTTCAACTCATGGCGATCTTCCTGCTTTAGCCTCCTGAATGCTCTGCACTCGTCTTCTTGATTGGAATAGGAAAGCAGTCATTCCCATTCAAGATGTCCAAGAAAGCAATGGTCTTCTCAGTGGGAATGCGACAGCAGGCTGAGTTTGAGTGCACAGAAACCCTTTAGGGAGGAACTATATTAAAGAATTCAATCTCCCACGTGGAGTACATAGCCCACTGCAGAGTGGCAATACCCTCTCTAGAGACACACATGCATGTCAGTCTATCCCCAGCTATGAGAACCTGGGACAGTATTAAATTTCTTTAGCTCCAGGTGCATCTCCAGGAAAAGCAAGGCCAATCAGATTGCACCTTGAAAGGTCCTCCTGATGATTCAGGAATTTAGTGTGCAGACAGGAACCTGCATGTTGTGAGCACTCACTTTCTCTTCACTACAAACCACACACTTCAGGCTTAGAACTTTAACAGTTGCTACAGGGAGAATTCTGGGAGAATGTGATGGCACACACGTCTGAAAGCAGGTCATAAACACGTGGAAGGGCCACAGAAGTGAAAATGTCCCATAAGATCTCATGAGTTATTTTAATTTTTGACAGAGGAGGAGATTGATGAGGACAGAACTACACTAAAGGGTGCAATGTTAGGTATAGGTGGAAAATGATAGGACCAAGGTCTATTATTTCAGGAATGTAAAAGTCACTAGTGGAGTGGGTTTGATAGCAATCAGGTATATGATGTAAATGAAGAGTCCTGGCATGGTAGTCTATGCATCATCAGTAGTTTTCCATTGGTCAACATGTCTGTCTGTCTTTGTGCCAGAACCATCTTGTTTTTATTATTGGAACCTTGAGGTATGACTTGAAATCTGGGATTGTAATGTCACCTGCTTTTGTCTTTGTGCTCAAGAGTGCTTTGGGTGTTTTGTAACCCTTCTGGTTCCATGTGAATTTTAGAATTCCTTTTCTAGTTTTGTGGAGAATGCAGCTTTGGTATTTTGATAGAAATTATATTAACTAGCCGGGGATTTAGCTCAGTGGCGCCACCTCCTGCCTCAAAAGCACAAGGTCCCGAGTTCAATCCCTGGTACCAAATTAAAAAAAAAAAAAAGAAAAAATATATTAACTCCATACATCATTTTTGGTAATATGGTCATTTTGATGACTTGTTTCTTCCTAAGAAAGAACAAAGAATGTCTTTTGACATTCCACTGTCCTCTTCAATCTTTTTTCAAAAAGAAAATTGTTAAAGATTTTTTCAGGTATTTGTTAAAGATTTCTATTATTTGCTAACTTGTGTTAACATATATACAGTTAATATTTTTAACCTAGCCTAGTGAAATTGATTTAATGATTTCTTTCCTAGTGGATTCATGGTTTGTATATGGGAGCACTGTTGAATTATTTGTGTTAATTTTCCCATTTTTTCCTGCTCTGTATTGGTTTATTAGCTGTAAAAGTACACTCATGTAGTTTTTATAGCCTTCTGTGTAAGAGACCATTCATCTGAGGATAAGGATAGATTGAATTCTTCCTTTCCTCATCATATCCCTTTTATTTCTTCCCTTGCCTAATTGATTTGGCAAGTGTTTTGATTCTATGTTAATCTCTAAGGTAAGGAAAAAAGGTAATTCAGCCTAGTGAATACATCTAAGAGTCCACTTTGATTTAATGTACTTGTTTTATGTTTTGTATATGTTTTGTCCATCTGCCTGTTCTTTCTTTCTTTTTGGTACAGGGCATCAAACTCAAGACCTTGCACTTGCCAGGCAGGAACTGTGCCACTGAGCTATATCCCCAGCCCTGTCAATATTTTTTTTTAATAACTGGTTAAAGTACCTGCAGCTTCTTCAAGGGAAACTTTGCGTTAATTATTTTCTTTTTATTTTCATCTGTTGCTCTTGCAGTTTTCTGACTCTCTTTGGGACTTTCCTAAGAAGAACTAGTTATGCAAATATTCAAGAGTAACCAAACTCACTTTAAAATATTGGATGAAAACTTGCAAATAAGTTTAACATAAGAGTTTGGCATCTTAAAGTTATATATCTAAGGTTAATATGTATGTTTCTGTGTGTTTACTTTCAAGTATATGTTATCCTCAAAATTTTCTATTGGGCCAGGGATTTAGTTCAGTGATTCTGCTGCCTGGCTCACAAGCACAAGGACTTGAATTCAATCCCCAATACCAAAAAAATTTTTTTAATTAAATTTAGTTTCTTCAGATATTCTTCACTCATTACAGTAACCTAAATATTTTTTTCACATCATTTAAGAGTGAGCCAATTTAAATTGATTGGTATGATCCAGGATGTTAGTGTAAGGTTAGACTGAGGCATGATTGAGACCACTGAGGCAGGCAAAGTCTAAGCAGCATATGATGAGTTTATTGCCATCTGGGTGCAGATGGGCCAAGGGCAAGAAGGCTGTTGGCACTGAGAGGAGGGTGCTTGGGGTTATATGGGGCATTTTAGGTAGAGGAGGGGCACTGATCAAGAGGGTGAGAGATTTTAGAATCCCATGGCTGATGGGCCTGGGGCTGGCTGATAAACAGGGTGGTGGTCAGAGCAGCGGGGTGGGGGGGGCTGGCCTCTTGTTATCTCTGTGCTCCTGTGGATGTGGGTAGCAGGTCTACTTGGGTGGGGGTCCCACTTGGTGGACATGTCAGTCCATCGAGAGAATATTTATCTTAAAAGTTATTTATGTTAAAAAAGTTGTTTATGTCAATGTAACACCCAATGCTTTCTGTAGACAATAAGGTTAGATATTTTCCTTGGTTAAAGATTTCATATACATATATGTGCTGTACTTTCCTTCTCAGGAGTCATCTCAAATAATTGTTAAAATGTTTAAATAAGAAAATACAGGGCCGGGGATTTAGCTCAGTGGTTTCACCGCTTGCCTCACAAGCGCAAGGACCCAAATTTGATCCCCGGTACCAAAAAGAAAATAGATAAATGTCTAATGCTTATATATTGTTCAAAACAACATTTAAATAATCAGTTACTAAATATAAATTCAAGTGTTCTTGGCTTCTTAAGGCTTATAAACAGGTAATATATTTGGTTCAATAAATAGTTTTAAATTATTAATATATTTTAAAATTGTCTTAGCTTGGCTAAGAGTTAAATTTCTAAGCTTAAATTTTACATTAAAGTAATAGTTTACAAACAAATTTTAGTGGCACCACACTTGCCTTGAAAGCACAAGGTCCTGAGTTCGATCCCTGGTACTGGGGGAAAAAATTTTTTTTTCCTCAGGGAAAGTAATTGCATCTGAAGAATTACTGCAAAAATATTCCCCCGACCCATGGCTGAAAAAGCAGCTGTCTGAACTAATTTGCTTCAATTTTTTCACTAATGAATGTCTTCTCATGTTTTACCCCAGAGTCTAATTGAGTCTCATCAAAGATATTAAAAATTACATATATATTAAATTACAAATCTTTATATATGCATGCATTGGCAAAATTAAAAAGTATTCCATGTCTAATAAGGTTTTCTTAATATATTAAAATAG